AAATTCCTTATATAATCCCTCTTTTTAAAGTGCGACTGGGGTTTTAGGGGACTCGATCGCCAAAGTCTGATGGTGAAGAATCATCATTCACCACCTTTTATTTAAGTTTTTGATATGAATATGAGATTACTCCAATTTCAGTTTAATTCCAAAATCTGTAATGCTTCAAGAGTATCATTTATTAGCATTTAATTTTGTCTTTAAGACTATGCTCTGCTCATTTAGTAAACTAGTAAGCCCGCGATTCTTTAACGAATTGAATAATGTTTTAAATTAAAATGACTAACCAACGTACATGTGCCCTGTCGAACGTTCAACCCTTGTTTTCAATTCCCATTGATCTGCCCTGAAATATTTTTTTAATGTTTAATATTTATGTTAAATTATCGAGTACACGGAGAGAACTGAAATTTTTTTATTGTTCATTGATCTCTCTCAGATTTTGATTGCTGTCATTTCTAAAACATTACTTGTAAACATAAACATTCACATGTTAAGTGCATCCAAGCTAAACACATTTTTTTCTGTTCGCCTTTTTAAATCATATTAAACCAAAATGCTGATGTCACTGCTAACGCTGAAAGTAATTGACGCCTTGAAGTTCATTCGTCACATAATATCTTAAAACTAACCTCAAAACAGTTTGCAGAATGCAAATCATAAAATTAGATCATAATAATAAGATCATTATACTATTCCATTAATTGTATCGGCATCTTAAAATTCACAAATTTAAATGTATAAAAATAATATCTTAGCTGTTTTCCAAACAAAAGTTTTAAAATTTAAGATACCATTTTAAATTGCTTTACAAATCGTTTATTCTCAGCTTCAAAGCAAAGAATAATTAAATTAAACATTTTGATATTTGTCAATGTTTGCAGATACCGAGTGAGTATTTTTGTATGTTAATAGTTCATATAAACTTTGTAAATAAACATGCTAGAAATTTGGAACCCTTTTTACGACTCCAGGCAGTAACAATTTCTACCCGTAAAAAGATATTCGGAGCAGATCCAGATATCTTCTGGCCGAGCAGTCTCTGAACACTGGTAGCTCGGTTCGAGGTTCGAATTCCGCGAACGGGCTGGCTGCATGGAAGTTTTCGTGGTTTTCCCCATGTGTAACGTTACACGAGCCAGTTTTCCTTAGAAAGTTCTCCTTGAAGGCATCCCTTCCTTTCGTGTATTGCCTTAGGGAGGCACATGTAAATAATAAAAATAAATACGTTGTCTTACATCAGAACAAGGCCCGCGAAATTCATCTGCACCAAACAGTTTATATATATATATATATATATATATATATGTTTGCGTGTGTGTGTGTGTGTGTGTGTGATATTTTTAATGTGTAGTCGTGAATGATGACGCATTTAACTCCACTGAGCTTGAAGTATCACAATATTTATTTTCACGCATATAAAACCATCTTAGTAGATATTTATCCAATCATAATGAATTACAGTGATTTCTTATTTACAATTACACAGGTTAATGTGGGCGACATCATTTCAGACGGATAAGCAGAGCTGTGGGTAGATTTTAACATTGTCGAAGCTAGGAAAGGAATGACATAGTTTCTTGTGCCAAGAGTGTTTATACTAAGCATATGCAGAAAGTACTATAAGCTATGAATGGTTAATCTTAGGTTGTTATATAACAGAGAAGGATCTCGAATTTGGGAGAACAAATGGATTTAGGGGAAGAGCAGCAAATTTAAAATCTTTAATTTTAAGGTCACCACTTATTTTTAAAGGGGCTATCGTATTTTCTTATATCTTGCATAAAATTAGTTGTCATGTTTTAATGTGTAGATGAAGGAATCCGGTACTTTAATTTCTGGCCTCCAAAGACACTTTATTGCGTAGCTGGAAGGATGAATGCATAAACCAAAAACTTCCAAATAAGGCCATTTTGAAACAATTTTATTGCACGATAATTCACATCAGATCGTCTTTCTGTAGATAAGATATTTTTCAATCATAGTTGAATGCAATAATTTCCATGTACACGGATTTTAAAGTACGACGTCATCTTAAGGCAAATAAGCGGCAGCGTAGATGAGGAGCGTCTTGGCAGGAGGAAAGCGTCTATGAAGACTGGTTGAAATATTGCTTTCATATTTTTTTATCTTACACATATATATATGCGATAGATATATGCGAATATATATATGCGATATATATATATATAATTGTGCCAAAAGAAAAACTTACACAAAGTAATTAGTGTGCGTAACAGCAAGATTTCAAAAAGTGTCTTTTAAAGAATTTAATATTCTTAACGTCAATTTAACCGGTAGCTATTATATTCTCTAAGCCATTTTGTCGTAAATATCTGAAATATGTTTTTCATTTTTTTTGGAATTTTTACTAACTAAATATGAGAACTGTTTTTTTAATAATCGCTCTAAATACGTAAGAGAGATAAATAAAAATATTAATTACTTTAGCCTTTTTTCGTTGCTGTTGGTTATTACACTTTAAGCACGGATTATCATTCTTCGATTATTTATTAACTGCCGTTCATTTTTCTATCTATGAAGACTGGAGGGTGCATCAGGCAGATGCCCCCCATCAACCAATTATGAGTAAATGTTATTAAAAATAACTGAGTTCGTAGCAACATAAAATTCATTTTTTCATTTATGGAACTGACGTTTTAATGCTCGATTAATTTCATAAATATAAAAACATAGATGAAGCCATGTGTATAAAAACAAGAAGTAACGGTTAAGAAGGGGGAACGGAAATGGAGACAGCAAGTCGAGAATTTTAAATATTTTGAATGCTCTCATAAAATTTTATAATTTTTTTAATATATGTTTTTCTTGCAAGTAATTTAAAATAAATAAATAAAAAGGCGGTGCTAGAAGCATTTTAGTATCTTTTCCTCTATTTGACCAACAAATAAAACTTAAAATTCAGTTTTCGTGTCTTAAAAGGTATGAATATTCTAATATCAAATCAGATTTTTATAGCTTCTAACTTAGTGTCCACAATTTCAGTAGAGCGCGATTTACAGCTGTTCCCCCAAATTATTAAGATTGAAGAAATGAGTGATTGATAAGTTACAAAATACGTTCCAAGCGAGAATAGGCCGCGACATGGTAGAATACTGTAATGCAAATACGCAGAGTTTAAAAAAAAAAAAAAAAAAAAAAAAAAAAACACCACTGCCTTCCAATCACGAAAAATGAATTTCAAGTACCAATATGAATACGGAGGCGACTTTACGTTGCTATGCAATATGCAATGAACGTTATTTTTATTATTCTGTTAGCCCTTGAAATTACGCACGATATTGTTCTGTTCAAACATAGTATTTTGTTGTTAATGGCATATCATGTCTTGAAGATTGTACTTAAATATCTGCTTCTTTTAATCTCATAAGTACGAGAGAAAGAGAATGTATAATGAATGTGTGGTATACTTTACTTTTACGGTACATATTTTGCTTGTATGATGTTTTTTTGCTGCGTGCAAATATCAGTTCAGTGTTATTGTTTTTATCTTCTGCAAATATCGCATGTTTGAAAAAAAATTACAGGATTTGGGCGATTAGTGGTTTGATTAGTGGCCTTCTAAATCATGAGCAATTGTAACTCTGAACTTCAGCTTTTTTTGTTAATAATCTACGAAAAGCTTAGTAAATACTATCAGCATAACAATGAAGGGATTTTTTTATAGCAGGAGACGTGAAAAATGTGCAATACCCTCGCCAGGACTCGAACCTGGACTTCTCGAAATGTGCCGAGTGTGCTACCGTTACACCACAAGGCATGCTGGAAGGAGGATACCTTATACATTAACAATCAAACAACATAAATTAACAATCAATTATTAATTGTAACCAGGCAGTTGCCGGACTTTCTAAACAGAGTAAAATTAATTTTTACTAGCAGCAAGGTTCTGAGAATCCTTGCAGTTGAAAATATCAAAGCATTCTGTGCACTTGCTCCGTTTGGCACATTTTGCAGACTGAATTGCCATACCCCTATAATTTTCCTCTTGTACTGCAAATTCGCCATAGTGGAAGACGACGTCAGAGGAATTCCGAAATCATGATCAGCCTGAAATTGAGAGGCTTGAGTGAGAGACATTCTGCACATCGCCCAGCTTCTCTGGTTCTGGTAGTGAAGCTGCAGCTTAAGTACAGTAACTTCCCGACTCATATAAATTCGCAGTTATATAAGTGTGCCAAAGCAGTAATATTCAATCTGAAATCTTCGCCTTGGAAATAAGGGCTCTGTAAGCAGCTGCTCTTTTCTCCCGATCTGTAAGTCTTGAATTCAAACAATAGTCGCATAAATGGTTTAATCACTTTTATATTATCATTAAGATAATTGCTGTTCATTTGCCTTTAAATGGATTTGGAATGTAAATGTTAAAATGTATTACTAGTAATACATTTTAAAAAGGAGGCGGCTGAAATTATTTTTAAAAGAGAAATTGAAAATAATTCGTATGCATAAGGGCAGGAAATATATATAATAAATATATCGGAATGTAAATCGATCTTCAACAGTGAATATGAAATTGAAGGATAAAGCTTGCATTGTTTATAGCATGATCATTTGTCGATGCTTTCACGTATTCAGCTATAATAGTTTTGGAATTATAAGCCCGAAAAGGGTCATTATTTTTGTATAGAATGCAGATTTATAAACTGTAACTTCGTTCAAAAGTTTTAACGTTAATAAATAAATATTTTATGCTTTAAATTACAATTTATTAGGCTTTTCAGATTAAACACTAATCTGGTAAAAGCTCCGTATCGCATTATCTTAAAAAGCTAAGTATAATGCAATACAATCCATGCTTAAAGAAGTGCCGCAGCTATTTGTGCCTGAAGTTGAATATTGTAAGAATTGATTTTCAGTTACAATAAATTAACTTTTTTTTTATCTTCCTTTGTATCGTTTTGTTTTAGTTTTCATACCGCTGATAATCAGTCACACAATTCTCATCTCGTCTCATCCATTCTGTCACTTTCTTATAGGATCTTCCCATCTTGGTCCTCCCGACCATCATCGCAGAGGACTACGATACAAAGATGGTTCTACCCGAGGATCGTGACATGGAACGGGAACGAATCCGGTCCTTGTCTGGAGGTGCCAAAGCATCCTCTTCTGGGTCGAGTCGAGAATCATCGTCGAGTTCCATCACGGGACGATTTCGTCGCCAATCTGGTGATGATGCGCACAATAAGAAGACAGGCACAGCTCTCTTTGACGCCTTTCGGCCGAGGTCGAAATCAGATAGCAAAAGTAAAAGGCCCACATTTATGTCTTCTCTCAGGTATCTTTTTAATATCAGTAATCATTCATTCATTAGCAGTACTGAGATTCTGGTTTGAAATTTGATATATATGCTTTATAAAACTGTGCTCAAATTCCAATGTACTGAGCATCGGAAAATATGTTCTTCATGATAACCATCGTTATTATTGAAATTTTTACCATTTTTATCGCACATTCGTTCGTATTTCCAATGTCTTGGAAGGGATCATTCAAACCTCTTTTTTACATTTTGCAAGTGACTTACTTGTATGTAACAATGTCTTCTGATGACGTTTTGCGTTCCTCGTATTTTTTGGTTGGGAATTTTTGTGTTCCTGTATTTTCTTTCTTATATTATAGTTACAACCTAAAATTTATATATTTAAAAAATATCACTGATTTTAAAACTATATTAAATTATTTTTTCACATTGCTCCCTTATATTTATTTCATATGACTTCGTCCTTATTACATGATATAGCACAATTATGTTAAAATATGATATAGCTTTTACTGTATAGATGATAATACGTGATATAGCTTAATACACGATTTAGCTTTTTCCAGTACACTTTTAGTTATCAGTTTTATTAATAAATGTTTTTGTAATCAGTGAGATTTGATTATGCCGATTAATTGCCAACGCTGATTCGGCTGTCGTCATTTTCGTCATCATTGACTCTCTTTAAAATTTCATTCACACCCAGAGAGTCAATACCGAGCCTGGCTTTGCTTTTAGTATTTAATCTTCGAAAGTATATCATTTATATTTAAAAGATGCTTGGAAATTATAAAATCAGTTTCTTACTTTAGCCAATTTAGTGCTATGTTAATTAGTTAATGAAAAAGAATTTAGAATAAAAATTTGTATTTTGATTATTATATATTAATATAAATTCACTTATTGAAGTTCTTCACTTACTGAAGTGGAAAGTGAAACTGTAAAAGGTACCAACATTTCATCGTTCTGAACTCTTCTAAAACTGTCTTATGGAGGGTTTCCTATTTATTTATTTATATACTAGAAAAGCCCGGCGGTCATACGGAAATGACCGCTGTTTTAGATATTATAAATTGTAATTAAAATGATTTGTGCAAAGGTGTCTGCTAATTCAAACTGAATTACCCAGGGCAGGCGGCGAGGACGCTCCTTTGCTTACTGCCCACCGGAGTTTCCTCCGTCTCTTGCTTAATTGCTTAAAGTAGAGTGCAATGAAGGAAACCACTGGCGGTACATTTCTTAAGAGCCACCGCTAGCTCAATAAATAAAGGTGATTTAAATAATAAAATGTTAATTCACATGTCAAAGATCTGTTTGTGTACAGCATTTCTTGTGTAGATCTTTCCACCATTTTTAAACTCGCCTTGCTTTTAAGCTCGCCATCATTTTTAAGCTCGAGCATATATATTATTTTTAATTTTACGTCCGTTCGTTCACGAAATCTTGAACAGGCAACATGAAGTTGACCGTGTCCAAATGTGGGCTCAGGTAAAAAAATGCCAACACGCTTAAGCGTTTGGACCTGAGACTTATGTTCATAGCAAAGGCAAGTTTTACACGAAATTGTCTACGTCTCAATTGAAATGGCAACCCTGTGCCGTGGTAACTTCACCCCATTGGCTAGTATGGTTACGCAAGCAACCAATAAACTATCGGCGACAAACAGACACTTAAGCCGCATATATATATGGGGTGAAGTAACATCATCTCCTCCGAAACGGCTGGCTCCCTGGCTTAGCGAAGCACACCGTTGGATTCCGCATGTCCGTGGCACGCAATTTTGACCATTCGCGTCTTCGTGGGACTTTAGTTAGCCGAGATATTAATTAAAAACTAATTTTTCTTAATATTCTTAATTAATTAATTAAAAACATTTCCCACTTTCTTTCTTGGGTTTTCCCTATTACAAGGATTTGGCTACGTGCCAAATTTTTTCTCTCGAATATCTGCGGAACGGCCCCGAGTTGCAATTTGAGACACGTATCCTCGAATTTTAAAAAATTCTCGGTATCCATCGATACCGTTCTCATCTCCGTACGACTTTAATGGCCAAGATATTAATTAAAAACTGCGGAAAATTTCATTTCCGCGCTCATTTTTCCGAGTGGCAACAATAAACTATCGGCGACAAACACTTAAACCGCTTATATATATAAAGATTTATTGTTGCCCATTTGTCGCTGCATTAAAATCTTGCCATGGGTTTGTGCTTTTTTATTTAATGTACGAGAGCGGTCTTTAGACCATATAGATGAAAACTCTGGGAATTTTCTATGCACTTAATTTAGATTTACAGCATTTTAAGTTTTAATGAAGTTTAAGAAATATGCGTAGTTATCTATATGGAATTACTCCTTACACCAGTACTTACATAAGCAAGGGTTTTCTGTATATTGATCTCGATTATTATTAATGCCGGATTATCTGTGCATCGTCCCTCATATAAGCTCTCAGACTGGTATTTAAAGGAGAGAAAACTTGTGAAAGCTTAGTGTTAATCCATGGGTAGTAAAACTAATCTCTGATCTGTCTGAAGTTGAACGGTTCTTGTAAGAATATCAAGTCTCGTTGAAGTTATTTTTGATGTTTTTAAGGGTTTGAAAATTTAAATGAAGAACACACAGAAATACAAACAGAAAAAGGTGCCAGCGATTTCATGATACCAAGATATGAAGGCGTTGTTTCAAGAGCAGTGTTCTCAAACTCGAACTGCATGTGGTCCGCATGCAATATTTGAAAGCAGCTTACAAACTAGGTTTCTCCCCCCGTCCCCACAAAATAGAGGTTATTTTTAAACAAAACAAAATGTTTTTAATGTAATTAAAAATTAATTAATTTTAATGTTTTTAATATAATTAAACAAAATGGAATTAAATTTTGACATCGTCTGATATTTACACTAATTTATGTTATTAACCTTTTTTAATTCAAACATATTGACTGCTAAATATTAAATTCTGAGAGTGATATTTATTTCAAATAGTTCTAATGTGTTGTATAAAACATTAAATAATTTATTTTTTCTTTAACTAGAAATAAACAACTTATTGAAACTTTCCAAACGGGAAAAATTTCGGAATAAATAATGAGGACCTATTCTCTTTCTTTTCTTTATTAAAGTTTTCTTTGACGGATATAGAAAAAATATGCATATTTGTATATAAATAGTTAGTTATAAACTTCTTTATTTCTTGCTACAACTTTCAGTTACAACAACACCTCATGATGTTTCGATTTTGCTAAAGTGTATAAAAATTATTAAATAATATCTGTTCATCACAAATTGTAGATGCTCATCAGTTAATCTTTATATATATATATATATATATATATATATATATATACTGTTTCATTTTCGACTCGTGAAAAACAAGATTTTCACACATGACTGTACTTCCAAACAAAGCGATTATTTTTATTGCACAGATTTGTAACTAAAGGCAAGTACGAAAAACATTAATCAAATCATCAAAATCAAAATATCTTCAAAAATTTTCAAATATTTCAAAATATCTGCAAATATTCGGGAATATTTATACCACAATGTAAATCAATTAGCTCCATTTGTAGAAACCCGCGAACCGCCAGTTTGACACCAGAGTGCAAGGTAGGCGCCAGAAACGATGCAAATGTTGCAGACGAACTTGGTGTTAATATTTAGGGGCGGCAAGATTTTTAGAATTTAGACAAGCACCGAGCAGCAAAATTTAGGGATGGCCAAATTTTTATAATTTCGGGGAGACTCTGGGAAGCCATCACACCCTAGATACTGAGGGTTCTAGGGTTTGTTGACCGGGCATCAGAATTTAGGACCCACCAGCCGGTAAAAATCCCTAGCGCTGGCGCTGCAATTTTGTTGCAGAACACGCTTCAAGTCAAAATGGACCATAACATACATTAAAATATGAATATATATTAAAATCGCCTATATAAATACTTTAAAAAAAATCTCATTGTTTATATTTAGAAACTACTATGCACGTTATGTTAGCAAACTGTGTACCATATGCCGATTCTAGAGATAAAAATTGCGAGAGACCAGTGTCGCCATCTATTGGCTAAATATTGATACTGTTAAATTGAAAACTAATACCTTATTCTTAGTCACATGAAGGTAAGAAAAAATTACTTCCATGCTTAGTCACGAAAAATGAAATCGTCGGTATTTTATTTGTACTTCTTTCAAAAAATAAATCAGTTAGGACTTTTGCACTTTGGAAATACATTTAATACGTGAACAGTTTTTTTTTTTTTTTTTTTCCCACAATGGAAAATTAATAAGAAGAGAACACGACTGACCGACGAGCATCTGCAATCCAATCCGCGATGAAGATAATTTCTAGTTTTTTCTCTCCAAGGATGCTAACTTTATCAGAATCGAAACGTCATCAAGTGTCAGGATATGATAGGAAATAAAGAAGTATTATTTACATTGAGATATATGTATTTTATTTATGCATCGAAGAAACATTGAATCAATAAAATAAAGATACTAGTAGAAGAAGAGGATGGAGAAAGGTAGTCATTATTTATTCTCAAGTTTTGTATTATGGAAAATTTTCTTACAAAACTTTAAAAGTTTTCATAACTTATTTATTTTTAGTAAAATAAGTTATTTGATGATTAATTAAACATGTTAGAATTATTTGAAATAAATGTCAGTTTGAAAATTTAATTTTTAGTTTTTAGTAATAAAGTATAACCAACAAAAATATCATGTATTATTATTATTGTTTATGTATGTCTTGATAAATTTTTAGTGAGCGAAATTTAAAATTTATATAAAATATTTTTTTTATTTTGTTACTAACATTTTTTTCATTTTTTTAAAAAAAGTTTTTAGATCGTAATGCATGGGGGTCAAATGCACGATATGAAAATAACTGACGGGCCATTTTTTTAACAAAATTAAAATTTCAAATAAAAGATATTTTAAATAAATTTCACTCACTAAATATTTATTAAAACATATGTTACCGACAATGTATGAAAGTCGGCATTCTATAGAATAATTAAGC